TTCTTATCCACGTGAACACACATGGCTCTGTTACGAAAAAGTAAGGTTACAACTTTCGAAAATAATGATTATAAAAATAGATATTTGGGAGGACTGTTTTTTTTTTGCTGTCAATAAGAAATTTACTTGTTTTAAAAAAATCCAAACGCTGGCATTGTCCAGAAAAATTTAACAGGTTTATTTATAATTGTTATGAAGTTGAACTGCTGAAACTTGTTCACTGAAACATTTGACTTGCATTAATACTTCACATCCCGGCATTTATATTAAAAATTCACACATAAATGAAAATGGAAAAACTGCCAATACCTGATTTTTGTCCCCTATTTTTCCACTTGAAATCATATACTTAGATACCTTTTGACCCCACGGGGAAAAAATATCTTAACGTTCAGAGGTACCAGTAATAGGAAGAAGAGAATTTTTTTTTTTTTTTTTGAGAATGAAATGTTTTCCCATCATAGTGGAGTCTTAAGCACGTTCTCTACGTATGCAGCATGGTAGCTGGATGTCTTTTGGCATGATTGTTTCACGTTTGGCATGAATAGCACACAGATTGGTGTCTTCAAAAACGCCAACCAGATAGGCCTCACTTGCTTCCTGCAAAGCACCAATAGCTGCGCTCTGGAAGCGCAGGTCTGTTTTGAAGTCCTGAGCAATTTCTCGCACCGGACCCTGGAAAGGAAGTTCGTGAATGAGAAGTTCAGTGAACTGATAACGTCTGCTTTTGCGTAGTGCCGCTGTACCAGGCCTGCAGCGACGAGGTTTCTTCACCCCTCCAGTAGAGGGCGCACTCTTGCTAGCGGCTTTTGTCGCCAGTCGTTTCCTGGGTGCTTTACCACAGGTCCATTTGCGGGCAGCCATGGTACAAAGACCTCCTTACTTACCCCTTCTTCGGCTGGAGCTCGGCGAGCGAGAGGCGGCGCTGGCGCTTGAGCGCGATGGCGGCACGGCCGTGGCTGTGAACGCAATTCTATTTGATAATTGTCTAAGTGGGTATCATTTAAAAATTGCATCTGGGAAGAAATAAAACCTGAAAAGAAGGAATAGAAGAAAAGGGGATCTCACAATATTGGCACTACTATGTTTTTTGTAGGTTCTTTTCCTTTCTCTTGAGACATAGAAACCTGTGATATCTCTGCATGTTTTACCTCACTGGCTTTGGGACAGTGTAGTCTCATTTTGAATGTATTATTCCAAGATAGAAAAGTTGAACTTTGAATGCAAGTTAAAACAACATTTTATTCTGAATTTGCAATAACCTGAGGTAGGAAAAGTCCTGTCTTCAGTAATGACTGAAATAAACCTCACACCAGTCCAGGAAGCACCTGAGTCATGAGATTACCCAAGGCCCCAGAAGCAGCAATGGTAAGAAACTATAAATGCTTTCTGATATAACTCACATTTCTCTTTTTCTCTTCTAGGTGTTAAAATGGGTAGAAGAAGCGGTGCAGGCCTCCAAAGTTCACCTCTTATCCACAGATCATTTGGAACATGCTGTAAATACTTGGAAAATTCCTTTTGACCCCAGCCTAAAAGAGGTCACTGTGTCTCTGAGTGGTCCTTCTCCGATGATTGAAATTCGCAATCCTTTAGGTGAGAACCAATAAAATACAAAAGCCATGGAGGCAAAAGACTTTTTGCACATTTATTTATGCCACGTTTATGCTAACTTTATAAATAAATTCAATACATTCAGAAGTGGCTAGGAAAGATATTTAAGAAAAGATAACAATTTAAAAATCTTAAATATTGTTGAATTGAGATTCAAATAGCTAAAACTCCTAATATTTGAAAAGATTAGATTCAGTAAATTAATTGTAGTTAAATTATCCAAAGGGAAATATTTAAACCTGAAATTATATTTTCTTTATCTGTGAAGAGATATTTTACAGCGATTTATTCTGTAAAATTCAGTATTTTCTGCTATTTTTAAATGAATCACACGAAAAACTCCTTCTAAAACAACTAATTTTTCATTATATCATTTTCTTGATATGGTTTAATTTTACAGAAGACAGTGTTTAAAATCAAATATTT